CCATAGCAATGCCCCTCTCGGCCAGTCGGGCTGCAACATCTTTCATTTGCAATCTGGCAACCTTCCTCAGTTGGTCGTGAGAAAGAGGATCGAATACAACAATCTCATCGAGACGATTCAGCAGCTCCGGCCTAAAGTGCTTTCTCACCTATGCAAGAACCATACTAGTTAAGAATTGATAGAACGAAGCGATACACAATCATAATTCAAATTTGGGATAACCAAAGATGATACCTCTTGCATAACTTTATCGCGAGCAACCTGCATCGAACACTTGCCCATCAAACCGGAGAGGAGATGTTCTGCACCCAAGTTTGAAGTCATGATGATCACTGTGTTTCTGAAATCAACTGTCCGGCCTTGTCCATCGGTTAGTCTTCCATCATCCAGGACTTGCAGGAGTGTGTTGAAAACAGCGGTGTGAGCCTTCTCCACTTCATCAAACAATACAACGCTGTAAGGCCTCCGCCTCACGGCCTCCGTGAGTTGCCCGCCTTCATCGTGACCAATATACCTGTAAAATATGAATGAGTCAGAATTCATAATGCCGCAGCTGAGCTCACAAACATGCTCGAGCGAAGAAATCTATAAATGCAATTACCCAGGGGGAGCGCCAATTAAGCGCGAGACAGAATGTTGTTCCATATACTCGGACATGTCAATTCTGACAATCAGATTCTCATCATCAAAAAGTTGTTCAGCAAGCGCCTTCGCAAGCTCGGTTTTACCGACACCAGTTGGGCCCAAGAAGAGGAATGAACCAGTAGGTTGTTGTGGCCTTCCTAGCCCTGCTCTTGACCTTAAAACTGCCTCGGCGACAGCATCAACTGCCTGGTCTTGCCCCACTACTCTCTTATGCAACCTTTCCGCAAGTCCAATTAACCTTTCCTTGTCATTCTGGCCAAGCCGTGTGACAGGTATGCCAGTCCAACGACTTACCACCTCTGCAATTTGTTCTGGTCCAACCGTCTCTGTCAAAATCAAGTTTTCGTCGGTACTACCTTCAAGCTTCGCAATGGTGGTTTCCACTTCCTGAATAGCGCCATAACGCAAGTCAGCAGCCCTAGCCAAATCATATCTTCTTTCGGCCTCTGCTAAAGCTACCAAGAGCTCTTCACGCTTCTGCTTAAGCTTTCGAAGCTCATCAACCCTTTCCTTCTCCTTTCTATACTTCATCACCAGTGGCTGAAGCTTGTCTCTTAGTTCATCAAGCTCTTTTCGCACCTGAGAATAAAATGGCAGAACAACGAACATAAGAACAAAGAAAGACCAAGATATTGAATAGCTACATCTGCGACTTCATCAGACAAATATTCTCTAATAAGTTATGGATCAGGTAATCACCTCGACAAGACGAGCTTTGCTAGCTTTGTCCTTTTCTCTCTCAAGTGCATGAAGCTCAATTTCCAGCTGCATCCTCTTCCTTTCGAGGTTATCGATTTCTTCAGGTTGGCTGTCAAGTTGGACTCTCACATTCGCACAAGCTTCGTCAATTAGATCAATCGCCTTGTCAGGGAGATGTCGCCCTACAAAACAAAAAGGAAAGAGGAAAACTTCAATACCAAGTAATTTTACACAGAACATTCAATTCAACATCGAAAGCTTAAAAATACCTAAACATAGAAAATAGACCACAATTGTTAGCCATTTTTAATTCATACCTGTGATGTATCGACTCGAAAGCTGTGCAGCAACAACAAGAGCTCTGTCAAGAATCCGAACACCATGATGACCCTCATACTTCTCTTTCAAACCTCGAAGGATGCTAATTGTATCTGGAACACTAGGCTCCGCCACATAAACCTGCTGGAACCTTCTCTCAAATGCAGCATCCTTCTCTACATATTTTCTATACTCCTCAAGAGTTGTTGCGCCAATGCACCGAAGTTGCCCCCGTGCGAGCATTGGCTTGAACAGGTTGGCTGCATCCATGGATCCCTCCGACCTTCCGGCGCCAAGAACAAGGTGAATTTCATCAATAAACAGAATCACCTTCCCCTCAGCCTCTTCCACTTCCTTCAAAACCGCCTTTAACCGCTCCTCGAACTCCCCTCGATACTTGGCCCCAGCCACCAAAGCTCCCATATCCAATGCAATGAGCCTCACATCAGCCAGATTACTAGGGACATCCCCACCAACTATCCTCTGAGCCAGCCCTTCAACCACAGCAGTCTTCCCAACTCCCGGCTCTCCAATTAGAACAGGGTTGTTCTTAGTCCTCCTCGAAAGAATCCTCACCACTCTCCTTATCTCCTCGTCACGGCCAATAACCGGGTCAAGTTTCCCAGCCTGCTCAACAAGGTCCCGTCCATAAGTCTTCAATGCCTGAAATGTAGTATCCCCAGAAGCACTCTCCACCTTCTTCCCTTCCTTCCCGCGAAGCTTTTCGACTTCAGATTTTACTCTGGCCGTAGCAATGCCGGCTTCCTTCAACAAGTCCCCAATCTGGGAATCCTCAAGAAGACCAAGAATCAACTGATCAACGGCCAAGTGTGTGTCCCCTCTTGCCTTCTGCGCTGACTGCGCTCTCCTAATCACTTTGATGAGAGATGAACTGGCTGGGATTTCGTCCGGCGGAGGTGACTGAGATGGGAGCTTCTTCAGGGCCTGGTTGAACACCCTCTCCACAGACTTCGGAGCGTCTGCACTGCCACCGGCATTGGCAATGGCTTGGCTCAAAATGCCACTGGGATCAGATACCAATGCGGTTGCAAGATGGAGCGGCGTGAACTGCGCGTGGCCAGCATCCATGGCCAGGCCATGAGCTCCGGCAATAGTCTCATTGGTCTTGTGGGTGAACTTATCAGGGTTCATTTTCCTTCACCAATTAATGATACCTAACAAACACTGCAAACAAGGTGAGATAATTAAAAAAATACAGTCAAAATTCAAACTTTTTGTATAATTTCCTTCAGTTTAAACAAAACTTAGAATTTTGCATCTGGGAAACTTCCAATTCAAATAAAAATTAAAAATCTCCATCTGGGTTTCTTTAATTTCAACTAGAAATAAAAATATTTTATCTGGGTTCTTTTCAATTCAACCCAAGAACACAAAGAACCTTTGATCATACCTTTCCCAATTTACGAAACTCATAAACTTCTTAAATATTCCATCTTGGTAACATGAAAAAAATTAAAACTTGTTCACCGGGGTTCCTTTCAATTTGATTCAACAAATATCGAAAGGCGAAAACAGAGGGTATAAATAAAACATACAATCATCCATCATGTCTTCCCAATTTACGAAATTCTTGAACTTCTTCAATTCTTTTTCCGAGATTGAAAAATGACAGAGACTTTACTACTTAAATTAATTCGTTCAAAACCCAAAACCCATATGGAAATCAACTCTAAAAACTCAAAGATTCACAGCGAGAGAGAAGCAAGAGAAATCTTGGACGTACCTTGTGAGGAGGAAGCTGAAGCTTTTCTGCAACAGTGGCGGGTAAATCCACAACTGCGTTTCAAGAATTTGATATGGTATTTCCTTCGGTTGATCGAATCGTTGTGAGTTTTTTCTGATGGGTGCTTGGGAGAGTGTGAGTGAGATTTTAAGAAGGATGAACCGACGACACGCAAGCAGCTAGAACATACTAGACGAAGCGGGAAGCTTTCGGGGCCTTTTCGTAATTTCAAGAATGTCTTTTCACATTGTAAAGCACCGACGTTATCGGATATATTTTTTAATGAGCACGGAATACGGATGCGTTCGGCATGTGTCATTTCAGAAATATAGAAAATTTTGATTTTAAGCACCCTTTCATCTGTAAGTTTATTTTAACAAAAAATTATATTTTACATTAAAATGTCAATCATATCGTTAAAACTCAAAGTTTTCAAACTATTTTTATTAGTTTTCCTTTTATATAATGATTATGGGTTGCAGGTGGCCCTCTACTACAATGGTAAAGAGGAATGACGCCTTTACATGACGGCATGGGTTCGAATTTCATTAGTGGCAAATTAATTTCTAACTTAATGATAATATCGCTCGACTTAAAAAAAATGATAATTATTATGGATTATGTGTTTTGTACATGCTGAAATTTTTTTCATATTACCGGGTAGGTTCCAAATGTATGATTTGCCATCTATCTCATTATAATTCTCAGCTTCTTAGAGCATATTCAAAGGAAATATCGAAAAGTTTACATCACCAATAATAGTTTAAAAAGACAATCTACCACTTAGTATTACGGCAAGCCCACTGTAAGGCTTAGTCTTTCTCTCATCTTTTTAATGTAGATAATATCGTTTGTTAAAAAAAAAAAGACATCCTTAGTGTTTTTAAGCAAAAATGTCAATTCTTATGTAGTATAACGTGTATTAGCCAAATTTATTTTTAGCTGATTAATAAATGCTCTTCATCATTTTTATTATTGTTTGTTGTTAAAAATATTTATTATAATTATGAAAAATAAATAATGTCATAAATAATAGTTTTATTTAACATATCAGATGGAAAACAAACAAAACTTTTAAAATATCAGAGTGTCATATAGGCTTTCAAGTTTAAACATTTATGTTTAAAATATATTAGAGAAAATTGTAGCAATGATCTCTTAATCAAAAATTCATGACCATTGTTTTTTTAACTCATCAAAACGTCTAGTTATGGTCATTTTCATTAACTCCGTCAAAATTCCGTCAAAATGAGTCATGTCGGAAGGATCATTACTAAATTAAATTAAAGTTGAGGGACCATTGCTACAATTTTTCTTTTTGATTTTCCATATTTGCCCCTTATTTCAGCTTCATATGCGAGTCACGTAACTCATTTTGCCAGAAGTTGTAACAGAGTTGATGAAAATGACCATAGTTGCACGTTTTGATGAGTATCGTGAAATTTTAGTTGAAAAATCTTTACTTCAATAGGTTAAAACTTTTGTTCGTGTGTTACAGATGAGGCTTTAGTGCGTTATAGATGACATGGTCTGGTGCCCCTTTTTCTCACTAGGCTTGATGGGCAAAAGCTAAATGCAAAAGCACTTTGAAACGTCACGGCCACAATAATTCTACGTTTCTTTCCCATGAAGCAATTTGCTACATACAACAAGATTATTCATTTTCGAGGGGGCAAAAACTGTTTGACAGATCTCCCGAATTCACATCAATTTTGCCAGTGTAGCAAACTACTTGTTATATATACACAAAACAAAGTTCTAACACCATAGCAAACATTTGAAGAAGCATAAACACGACCGGCTGTTATTTTTGGCTCCGAGACCCAGTTGCGACGGGCAATTCATGTCGTCTTTGAATCGATGGCACTTTGGTTTCGTCTCTGATTCATCCACCCGGGATGAACGGGCTTAAGCCTAACCGAGTTGTCTGCAACATAACGTGAGAGAATTAAAGAGCGAAAATCAAAATTCATGACGTGTTAGCGTTGGTAAAGTACTCACTGGAAATCATCCAACCGAAGGTTTTAGTCCTCATCACTATCATAAACAACAGCCATTCTGCGATGTGGTGCGGCCTTCCTTGGAGGTGAGTCTTCATCTGACTCGATTGCCTTGTGCTTGTGTCCAGAGTCCTTAACCTTTTGCTTGGGTGCCTACAAATATATCGAGAAACAGGTTTAAAGATGCAAGTATATAAATTGGAGTGGAGTTGACCAAGCCCAGAAAATTTGCTCTTGCATCAAACAACATTGTAGGCATACTAATTTCTTGACATAGTAACAACAGATGAACAAAACAAGCTTTTTCCCCCCGTTCGAAGAATTAACAGCAAATAGATTTCCATTTGAAAATACGGAACGGTAATTGTTCTCAGGACTGAGAATATCCACTCACTTGTATGATACAGAAGAAATGCAGTATATGTTTTCAAGAAAATAGCCATGTATTGCCAAGGGAAAAATCCAACTCAGAGGCCAAACTAATGGAGCCTTATTCTTGCATGTTATATCTTAGTGATATAATCACTCTGCATCGTACCATAAGAATATGCTGACAAAAGTAAGACAAAACGACGAGAAACACTCACATCTATCAGTCTATGGTAACAAGTAACAATATAACAGATCCACATGTTAAAAAACATAAATACAGAAACATTTTCACTGAAAAGAAGAGGGACATACCTCGGCCTCCAACTCTGAGGCATCATTAACCTCGGCATCATGATGTTCTTCGTCATCTTCTTCTTCTGAATCTTCATACTCTGGCTCTGAATCCTCAGCCATCTTATGTGGAGGCTCATCATCTTCCCCATCAGTTTCATACTCAGACTCGTCTTTCTCACTATCAGACAAACCCATTGAACGCCGAGATGATTTGGCAGTTGGCAAGGATGACTTGCGAGGGATGTCTTTAGGTCCCTGTGACTAAAACTCCAGATGTTAGTACTTCTGCCAGAAAAGATGCAATATAACTTATATGCGGAAAATGTAATAATCAAGTTGTAGGACCTTCTTAGCATTCAAAATGCGTTTCTCTCTTCGAGCTTCCATTTCGAAATCCTCCTCCATATGGCGGCGAGAATGACGAGACTCATGATAATTTGGTTCTTCATCCTGAAAATCAGAAGTTATCAGATAAGAGACTTAATAGTAATACATAGGTAATAAATAAAAAATTCCAGCAAGTACTAGAAAATGATTATAGAGGCTTCCATGTCCATAAAAAGAATAAAAATGAGAACATTCTTCAAATGTCATAAACAGGTAAGCTATACGTCTTAGCATTTGAATATGCTGTAAAGGAACACAAAACCATGAACATAGAGAGAAAACAAAGGAAATTCCCACCATGCCACCCTCCACCCCTACCCCAATAGCAAGATTGTACCTCATCAAGAGCATCTTCCAAGAAACCAGGTGAAAGTTGGCGCCTCCTGTCCCCAGTTGTTGTATACTTTCGGCTCACCTTCTCCCTCTTCCGATTAAGAATTAAATTAGCTCTGATATTTTGACTTTCGACCTACAGCACCAAACGAGAAATCAATCTATATGTTCCACGAAAAAAAAAAAAAAAATAATAATAATAATAAACAGATACAACTAGCTTATGCAACAACTTACCCTTTCTTTCTCCTCCTTTTCTCTCTCAGGATCGATGTCAGTAACGCAGTTCTTGACCTTGTATACTTTTTTATGTCGAGAATCTACCAGAGCAGTTAGCAGTCGATGTGAATTTGATGTCAAGGATGATGGCATGAACCTCATCTTCTTCAGAACTTTTCCTTGTGATTGGAGGATTCCCTGTAAGAACAACGCCCAGGTATTTATGAAATTTTTTTCGTGAAGACCGAGTTTTTCTAGAACAGCAACTTCTTAATAGACAGGTGAGAATTCTTTTCAACCACTTTTTTAGCTGCTTTTCCAGATTTATGATGGAAACAGCATCTGTTATGTATATATTCATGGATTGCACAACACCAACAGATTATGGAATTTTACCTTTTCGTGCCTGAGAAATAGGTGCGCTTGATCATGCTGTGCTTCTTGCACAGATATGTCTAGAACTTCATTCCCAATCAACAGCTGCAAACTGCCATCAGACCATCTCACAAAGCGTGTGTTGCTTTCACTCTACAATCATAGGAAATAAAAGTTGAAGCACTGAGTGCATAAATTTGTAAACAGTGCAACATAAAATGGGTATTGTGGTAAAGTTAAATCTATATTGGGTTTCAAGATAAAAAGAGCACTGGAAACCCCAACAACAGATATGACAAAAATAGAAATGTAAAGTTCAAGGAACTGGAAGTCTACAGAGACAAGTTTTCCTAATCTTGAAAAAAGGAACCCCATCTCCAATAAATAACAAGCCATTTATACATATGTAGTTTTACTTTGGAAAAATGATAGTCAAGTACTCGAATGGATAACCCATTACAACATTGATCCTACTCAGTGTCATGAATAACACTTTTGCAGACGTAGAAAAAAGTACACAAAGTCCACCCACTGCAAATCAATTTCAAATATATGCAATCATGCATCTTTGACACAATAATGATAAACATAAAGTCTGCAGCAATCCATTGCATTGCACACACGCACATGTATAACAGAATATAATAGAGATGATTACTTACAGTTGTGGTGCCATCTGGATTTCTAACCCTCCTCCAGCGCACAATATTGTTCTCCAAACGTATACGCTTCTTAGATCCTGATTCATCTGTCACAAACGTATCTTCTTCCACATATGTCTTTGGATCAAACGGTTTGGGGTCGATGCCCATGATATTTGAAACTTTGATCATGTTCATCTACATGAGGACAAAATTTGAATATTGGTATAATTTTCCGTCTAACTATTTCACATCTGATGGTAAACAGTAGCAGTCAAATCATTCCTAAAGTATCCCAAACGATGCCCAAATGAAATAAATGAGGAAGAACAAATAGACCACCCCAACGTATGTAGACAATGTTTCTACCAGGTAGCCATATCATAGCTCATATCCATTACTTCATTGATGACAACATATGTTGGCAAATCCTCCTGTAACATATCCAACCGTTTGAAGAAATAACACCAGTGCATTTGCATCGTACTTTTGAGGTCCATGAAAATAAATGATACATATTTTGTCCTTTATCTAATTTCAGTCAGAAACTTTTTTTCCATAAAAAAAATGAAAAGCTATTTTCTGGTAGTCATTTTGGAACCAAACTACAATCCATGTCCCCAACAATTAGCGCATTATACCTCTTTCAGCATATGCAAATGAGATTATTCATTAAACCCAAAATTAGCTAGACTATCTTATTGTTAATACAACAGCTACCTTAAACTCTACCACCTTCAATTTATAAAACTCTACCACCTTCAATTTATATGCTGTCTTACAGTTGCATCAATTTTATATGGTCCTAGAAGCTGCTGATACACAAAACAAACAAATTATATTTTAAAAAGTGATTCCACCACGTAGAATAAGAACTCAAACCTTTTCTGGACGAGCAGGAGGTGGACGTAGTGGAATCTCTAGCTCCAATGGGGGGCCAACCGGTTTATCTCTAGGTTTAGCCTCCATATTGTCCTCTTCTGAATCATATCTAGCATCTTCATCAGGCATTACATCCTCTAGTATTGGACTCCTTCCATAGCTTCCTTCCTCTTCCATTGGTGATCTCTAAGGCAGGAAATGACGTCACATCATTTAAACACCATGACTAAGAGCATTTACAAAAGAATGATTTAAGCATAATGCTTTCCAAATTGGTACTAACATTTGATTCATGCTGAATGTCATTCCGAAAATCTGTCTCTTCTTCTTCTTCTTCATCAGAGTCACCAAATACATTGCGAACAGCAGAGTGTGCGATGTTAGTATGTTCCTCCTCCTCCTCAGGGGATCTACTGTAAGCAGTCAAGAGAATTGTCCTTATAGTCAGACTTACCATGCTTGCTCCAAACAAGTCTAAGTGCAAAAAGCATACAATCATCTTTATTTTCTTCTCTTTGGGTACAAAAAATAAAAGTAATTGGCCAACAAACCAGCATGCATTGCCCCACACCCACAAAAATCAAATAAGATATAGGGAATTATTATTGGTACTCCAAAAATCTCATTCTACACTCCAAACTTTCTATATTTGGAAAGAAAAATACACATGTGAGGAGTGTAGAATGAGATTTTTGGAGTGCCAATAACACTTCCCAAGATATATTAGAATAAAAAATGTTGCTTCAGATATTTTCTTTCAAGTTCACTGGACAAGCATGTGTGTGTGTGTGTGTGTGTGTGTGTGTGTGTGTGTGTTTGTGTGTGTGAGAGAGAGATTTACCTTGGACTTATGGCCTGATTAACCTCGTCTTCATTGTCAGGGTAATGGTTTTCCTCAGATCTCTCAGACCCACTTTCAATCACATTTCGTCTCCGGCTGGTTAACTCTTCTTTTTCATCTGTGTCTGTATATTTTCCTTCACTTTCTTCTCTATGATCACCAATGTCTACTTCTTGGGAACTTTGTTCTCTTTCGCCCTCACTTTCTCCTGGATCAGGATCAGCATTACGCTGCTCAACATCACTCTCCACTTCCACCTCCCCCTGACCCTCTACTTCACCTTCACCCTCAGCCTCCACAGCGCCCTCTCCTTCATCCTGAAAACAAAACCATTACAAAGTTGTTTACGAAATCACTCTGCTGGCGGTATAGTTCTCGCAAGTACTAAAGGATTATTTTCAACATAAGCACAATCACATTTCATTAAAACAAAATACATGTTTCCCTAATAACTTATAATCGCCACATCATATAAGTGCGACTAATATTAATAGTCAAATACAATCCTTAAATGCTCTTATAATCACGAAATTCCTCGGACGAGACCTTCCACACATTTTCATCGGGAAATTGAACTTCAAAACTAAAGAATGTTAACTAATGAATGTTAAGATTCTTGCAAGTAATACCATACAACTAATAACTTGTGATCCTGTTAAAATCCAGCTTAAATTCTTTGCTTTCAACTCCTTCTCAATACAACCAACCTCTTTAATCCTTCATCCTTCTACAACAAATACCACACCTGTACAATTCCCAAACCCTAGAAACAACTGCAAGCAAAAAAAATCCCCAAGATACGCACTTTCATCGAATCATCCACCGCCATTAACAAAACCACAACCTATATCTTCCTTCAGCTAAGATTAAAGCAAAAACTGAAACCCCTATCATCCCCAAACATGCAATTGGAATCTGAATACAAAGGAAACATGAAATTAGAGGATCATACAGAATTGGGCTGGGGATTGGACTCGTGCTCGGAATCGACCTCTTCCTCTTCCTCTTCGGATTGATCTCCGAACAGGTTCTGCATCATCTGGTGCCGCTTCTCCTCCCCCATCGCTGCTGCTGTGTGTTGCGGTTGGAGCTCTCGGGGATTTTCACTTGGCCGCGGATCAGTTCTGCAGCACCCACTGATTTCGTTGTCTGCGTTTAAACCCAAATTTAATAAAAATCACAATTTTATCTATAAAGTAAAAACTAATTTCCCGTTAAAATAGTAAATTACTGTATGAGATATTTCTTTTAGACAATTTTCAACCCTTGATTTAAACTAACTCAATCTTTCTCTGATGATTCGGCTAAAAACTTTTGGGTTCAACCCCAAATTTGGTCAAATTTAACTCATACCAAAGTTAAAAGGGTTCAACCCCAAATTTGGTCAAATGTAACTCATACTAGACTTAAAAGGTTGGCGCACCAAAGTTTAGGTTTTAAACTAACCTAATCATTCTTCAATAGTTGGGCATAGAATACGTGTAGGTTAATACCTAAAATTTGGGCAAAACCTAGAATTCAGGCCAAGGTTAAAAGGATGTCCGACCTTATGCATGCGGACGCACCCAGAAACGTGGAAGCCGCAAGAAGGTTACTTGCCTAATGCGCGAGACGTGCAAGGGCTGGAAGTGCGGCATGCCCTTGATGAGAATGTCGGCCATCCAAAAGGAGCCCAACAACTCTATTTGAACCTGACTATTTTAATTATTAGATCGTGGATTGATCCAATTGTTTAGATTCAAACTTATTTAACTTTATATTTTTAAAAACACTAAATTCAATGACTAATATAGAATATAACCAAATCTAACAATAAAAAAAAAATCTAAAGAAAATATGTTTTTACTAACATTGTCTTAAATGAGATTTATAGATATTTCACTCCTAAGGCAGGAAAGCGAAAATCAAATTGAATGTGTAATGGTCGTTTGCAACTGCTTTTAAAATGGCTGAAAGTGTTTTATGTAAAAATATATTTGAAACTAATCTTTAATAAAAATACAAGGGAATCTTGAAAAAATACTTAAAATATGCATTTTGCAGTAAGCACTTCAAAGTGCTTCTGAAACACTTAAAGTACTTCTACTCTAGCCCTAAATAATGGAGGCAGATTGTATGCCCTCCTGTTCACCTGTTTGGATGCCCTTTCCATCCTCTCCTATTTCCGCGGTCACGGTTAAATTATGTCAATATTTTATATTCTTATTATTTTTTGTTTTATTATCTTTATTAAAAAATTAATATAAAATATTGACGCGATTTAACCATATAAAATAAAAAAGGATGAAAATGATACCCAAACAGAAGCGCAGACAATCTGCCCTCCAAAATAATAGAGTATGGAATTTTTGTTTGGATTTTTTTCTGATCCTTTTAAGATATTTATGTTAAAATATCAACAAAAAGGGGATGTAAAGATTTTCTCTTTCTTTTTGGCCCGAATTTTCAAATTATTGCGGGCTCCACAAACAATAGTTCCACGTGGCACAATTTAATTGCAGGATTACCTAACTCTCCCTCTACCCGCAACAATTATTCGGAAAAACCCACCCGAAGCCTTCGCCAAAACGCCTCCCTTTTCCCAACCTTAGCTTCGGATCCCAACCACCTAGCTTTGGCCAACGAACCTCAGCTTCGGTTCCGAACCTCGGTTTTGTTTCTCAGTTCGTTGAAAATTTCGCACTATTTCGATCACTTTCTATCTCTCTCTCTCTCTCTCCCTATCTGAAGCTCAAAGACGCACATTCCTCTCTCTTTCCGATTCGAGCCCTAACGCTTCTCAGTCTGACAGTCTCGGAGGATCAGCTTCCAGCTCCAATGGCGGCTTCGCAGCGTCACTGTGAGTTTCCCTTTTTTTTAAATTAAAAAAACCCTAATTTTCTCTCCGCTCGGACCATCTCTGCTGGTAATTCAAATCTAAGCTAGGGTTTTGGCGTGCCATGGCTGGGCAGGTCCGTCGCTGCTTGTACAGTTGAAGTGTCGCTGCTTTGTTTTCGATCTTGTGTGTTTTTGCTATAAATGTGGCTTTAGCATTCCTTTTGATTGCTCATAAATGGACCGGAAAGGAAAGAATTGGCAGCTCAAATTTTATAACTTTCTGTTACTTTTGGATTTTTGATTTCGGAAACGAAACAATTTGGCTGGATTGGTTTAGTGTGGCTTCACATGATTAAAATTCCGTTAAGTTTCGTGCTTTTTCCTGTTACTTGCATTTTAGGCAGCCAATTTGAGCAAAAGGTTATTGTGTCAGATGTGGGTTGGGTTGATGAATTGCACATATCTGATTGCCTCCTGTTTTCCCCACTCGACCATTTTTTTTGAGTGAGGCACTTGAGAATGCAGGGAACACTGTCGATTGTATATTCCATTTCGCTTGTTTGTATGACTTGTTTCTATGGGAATGTCTGTAATTTTAGTTAATGCTTGGATGTGTTATTGTAGGATATACCGTTTGTGTTATTTGCATTTAGGGTTGAACTCATTGCTGGACAGCAGTCCAATTCCCCACCATTAAATTTACCTGAGAGCGTGTGAACTTTATTGACCTACACTCGCATTGTATGGTTTGTTAAATTGTCCAATCTTTGTTGGAATGTAATGTAATGAGCAAACCTTATGGACCTGTTGTGGAATTGAACCCGAGTTTTCTCAATGTGAATATACATGCACATGGTAATAGAATATTCTGAAATGAGGCCATATATTGCAGTCCTATAGTGCAACTTAATCAAACCATATGAGTGAGAGATCTACCAAATATCAGTTTTACATATTTTGATTGTGGGAAATTTTTATTCCTCCGTTGTTTCAGGATGAATATCAATAGTTTGAATGTGGATAACAGGAATTATCATGATGGTTATATCTGATGGCTGTAATTCTGCCTCTAATACATGATCTACTTGATGTATAACTTACCGTCACATGGTTATATGCAGGATAAGTAGTTTGGGCTGGGAACATGGCAGTTGGATTGGCACTAAATTATACCGGAAAAAGGTGTGTTTCTGAATGGAATTTTGTTTGGTCGAACTTCATATGATTTTCTGGTATCTTAAAATTGTCGGAATATGGTAGCTCTGAACTCTATTCATATTTTTCGTAGGTAGTTATTTTCTCATAAGACCTTTAGCTGCTGCAAATTTGTGGCTGGATTATCTATGCCTGGAAACGAAGTTGGAGACAGGGTCCATAACTTCTTTGGCCAAGAGAACTTGTCACAGGGTCAGCATCATCCTCAGGCTGTTGATGGGAACTGGCCAGGTCTTAGTAACAACCTGTGGGTTGGGGCCCAGAGACAAAGTGGAGCTCCTGTTAATTCAAGTTTAAAGAATTATAATGTACAGCAACCAGGTACTATTAAACTAACTTCTAGATTACTTTAAGGTTGTAATGGTTTTTGTGTTGCCTGAGCCATCACCTGTTTCTAAACATCTCTGTTCTTTTATTATGAGCAGATTCGGAGAGAGGGCATGGTGGTCAGTCTTTTCATGTGCCTCATGGTTTGAATTTTATGCAATCAAATGTGAGGCCCGAGTTTGGCAGAGCTCAGTATCAAAATCAACAGGCAAACCTGAATGGCTATGTGCATGGGCACCAGATGTTTAAAGCAAGGCAGAATGAAGCTAACTTTTTGGGAGTGGATTCAGAACCTGATCGGCAAACTTTAACATCTAGAGGCTTGCCGGCACATGAATCACAGAGAGGAAGTGGCCCTGAGCAGAAGAATAATTCGATGAGATTAGAAGCTTCAGAATCCCCCATTGGTTTTGATTTTTTTGGTGGTCAACAGCACATGAGTGGTCCACATCCCAGCACGATGCAGTCTTTGCCTAGGCAACAATCGGGGATGAGTGACATGCAGCAGTTGCAGCGACAGGTTATGTTCACACAAATTCAAGAATTTCAAAGGCAGCAACAACTTCAGCAACTAGAAAGGCAACAGGTTCTTGCAAATCAGGCTTCCTCCATTACAAAACAGGCTGCTGGTAACCACTCATCAGCTCTGATCAATGGTGTTCCGATCAATGAGCCATCGAACAATCAATGGCCACCTGATCTTGTGGCAGGTAACACAAACTGGCTGCAGCGTGGTGCTTCTCCTGTTCTTCAGGCTGCATCTAGTGGACATGTATTGCCCCCTGAACAAGCCCACACACTACACTTGATGGGTTTTGTTCCTCAACATGCTGATCAATCTCTATACGGGGTTCCAGTTACTAGCACAAGTGGCTCAATGGGTTCATATCCTCATGTTCAAATGGACAGATCGGCAATGCATCAGATGTCGGCAAGTAACAATTCGTTTCCAGGTAATCAATATTCTGCATTTCCAGATCAGGTTAGCATGCAAGATGGACCCCGGGTTTCTAGACAGGATTTTCAAGGCAGGAGTGTGCTTGGGCCTACTGCTGCTGAAGGTTTGAATAGTGGGTTTAATTTAGAGAACTTGAATCAAGGAAATCCCCATCAAAGAAATGAACCTCTGGAAGAATTCCAAGGGAGGCCACAACTAGTTGGATTGTCAGAACCATCACAAGAGAAAGCAGTCACACAAGTTGCATCCGGACAGAGCGTGGCTACACTAGATCCAACTGAGGAAAAGATTTTGTTTGGTTCAGATGACAATCTGTGGGATGCCTTTGGCAGGAGCACAGATGTGGGAATGGGAGGTTCCAGTGTGTTGGATGGTACGGAAGTTTTTGGAGGACTTCCTTCTCTGCAAAGCGGGAGTTGGAGTGCTCTTATGCAATCTGCAGTAGCAGAAACTTCTAGTGCTGATATAGGGCTACAGGAAGAGTGGTGTCCTCCAAGTTTTGGATATCAACAACCTCCAATTGTGAATCAGCAGCGCTCAAGTGTTGGTGATACTCGCAAACAACAATCTGATTGGGCTGGTAACAACTTGCACTCTTCCTCCGACTTGAATTCTAGAGCTCCTCCACAATCTACTGATGCCCATAGGGTGAATACGACTACTAGTTTTTTTCAGCAACCAGGACCTAAAACTTCGCATGAACGAGGTGAGGTCTTTCAGAATCATTCTCCTCAGAGATTTGTTCAACAGGTTCCTGAACAAGGAAGTAAATGGTTGGATAACAGTTCTCTACAAAAGCCACCTGTGGAAGGTAGTCATAATTATGGAAATAGTAGTCATTTATCTGGTACAGAAATAAATGGAAATAGCATTTCAGG